AGGAAGGAAGGAAGGAAGGAAGGAAGGAAGGAAGGAAGGAAGGAAGGAAGGAAAAAGAAAAACAGGGAAAAAAGAGGTGGACTCACTTACATAATTCAAGCAAAGACTAACACGGGTTAAGGCTCCTGGTCAGGATCTATCTGACTCTAGGCGCACCTTATATGTGGTATTTTCTTTTTCAATCAAGAGTGGCTCTTAGAAAATTCTGAACTCTGGATTATTTTCCATACTTCAACAAAATGCTCTATTGACATTTTCTATGAACATTACAGGGCATCCAGAAATACACAGGAAAAATTTTCCTCTTTTACATACTTCAACAAGACGATATGGAGAAAATTTCTTTAAGATAGCCTAGTCTCCTCTTAGGATACAGACTTCTGTAGATTCACAATTTGTAAATTATATCAAGGAGAATATTTGTTTTGTGTTAAACTTTGTATTTTGTTATCACATCATTTCCAGGCTTATGTGTTTTTTTATTTTTTATTATGCGTCTTTGCAGCATAGAATGACAAGATTCTTTGTAGGGAGGGAATGCATGTATACAATAAAACTTAATGGATTTTACTATCCCTATCAGGGCCCCTTTTTCTCTCATCTCCCGCATCTATTTAGTCCCTATGAATCCAACTGTAATTTGCTAGACTTAAGAGCGGTTATAAAATTCTGATGAAATTTCATTTGCAAAGTCCAATATGTTATTCATTTTACTATGTTACCTCTTTTCCATGCTTCAACAAAATCTGCCTCCAAGGATCAGGAATGTTGAAATTTCAATTTATTTTTCTAAAATTTCTCAATCTTCAGTGCATTGATCTTTTTAATCCTTCCAGCTCCTATCAGCATGTCACTGCATTTGACATCTCAGTAGGAGTTACCCAAGTGAAACTTAGTTTCATTTAGGTTGGATAAAATTTTAAGTGTAAAAAACACATCATGCTTGAGTACATGCATTTAATAATGATCAGAGTTCTGGATTAAAAATATAAAACGCCTGGGGCTGGGGAGATAGCTCAGTAGAAGAAGTGCTTGCCTGGGAAGCGCAAGGGCCTGAGTTCAATCCCTGGTTCCACAAAAAAAAA